ACAATGTTTCCTAGGTTGTATACCTTCGGGAAACATGGCTAGGAAATTAAACAGTGTTTTCTTGTTTTCCCACTTTCACGAAACATGGCTAGGAAACAATGCTAGGAAACAATGTATGTTTCCTGGTTTCACACCTTGGAAAATATAACTATAGGAAACAATTTTCTTGTTTGCCATAATACTAAGATTTGTCAATCCTTTCCGTACAGGTGGGTGTTCTCACAAACTTGAATGAAACCCAATGTCTCTGCAATCATCTCACGTCCTTTGGCGGTGATTTTATGGTTCCTCCAAATTCCATCGACTGGGATGCGGTGAGTGCAGGCTTTGCAAACCTGGATGAAAATCCTATCGTGTTTGCTGTCGTAGTGTCTATCATTGGTGTCTATTTCATTTTGCTTGTATGGGTACGACGATTGGACAAGAAAGATCTTAAAGAGGTAAACATAAGACAACTATCCTATTCTTGCGAAGTAAAATCCTTTATCTCAAAAGTTAGTTGCTCCGTCAGTAATATAATTGTGGACCCCAACTATTCTGACTAAGCTAAACTAACTTTATTAAACTAACTAAAGATTATCCGTTATTGATCCAGAGTTACTACAGGAGGAAAGCTTAACTAAGCTAACTTTATTTATACTGGATAGCTTTATCAGTTCTAAACTGTTCTTCCTGGAGGTGCAGTAAGGATCATCTCTTATTGATCCAGTGTTACTACAGGAGGAAAGCTTAACTAGGCTAACTTTATTTATGCTGGAAAGCTTTATCAATTCTAAACTGTTCTTTCTAGAGGTCCAGTAAGGATCATCTTTTATTGATCCAGTGTTACTACAGGAGGAAACCTAAACTAAACTAACTTTATTTATACTGGATAGCTCTATCAATTCTAAACTGTTCTTCCTGGAAGTCCAGTAAGGATCATCACTTATTGATCTAGTGTTACTACAGAAGGAAACTTAAACTTAACTAACTTTGTTTATACTGCATAGCTCTATCAGTTCTAAACTATTCTTCCTAGAGGTCCAGTAAGGATCATCTCTTATTGATCCAGTGTTACTACAGGAGGAAACCTAAACTAAACTAACTTTATTTATACTGGATAACTCTATAAGTTCTAAACTGTTCTTACAAGTGTTCTAGTTAGAAGCATCTATTATTGATCCAGTGTTAGTCCAAGAGTCACTGAAAAAAAACTTTTGGCTTATTCTAATATCTTTCTTTTCTCCACAGTTCGTCACCATTCCCCTACCAGACAACGATCCGCGCGACAACTACAACTACGAAGTCGTGGTCTACACGGGGCATCCAAAATATTCTGGCACTACGGCTAAAGTCTTTATAGTCATCTTTGGAAGTCGCGACGAAACCGAGCCACGCGCCCTCGTGGATTCGACCAACACCGCCTTAAAACCGGGGGGCGTTGACACCTTTGTCCTAAGCGTTCCCTCGAGTCTCGGAAAACTCGATCACGTGCGAATCTGGCATGACAACAGCGGGGAATCCGCGAGTTGGTATTTGAATCGAATATTAGTTCGTGATGTTCAGACCGATCGGAAAACTTGGTTTCTTTGTGATCAATGGTTCGCGGTCGAAGAAGACGATGGTCTTATTGAGAGGGTTCTTCCCGCAGCAACTAAAGATGATTTGGTTTCGTTCAACTTTTTATTTTCGATCGAAGCGAGGCGGAAATTATTTGACGAGCATTTATGGTTTAGTGTTCTTTCGAGACGTCCACGCAGTCAATTCACACGCGTGCAGCGCCTCTCGTGTTGCCTCGCGGTAAGTTCCTATGTATAGTAATAATTATTTATTTATTTATTTACTTATTTATTATACTGGGTGGAAGCACCAGTTTCAAGATGGTAGCAGTTTTTCTACCTTTGCTAAAATATATTTAAAATATATTATTTTTTACATAATTATATATTTCTGTCTTCATGTGTGTATATAATTCATTCAAAGTCCAGTAGATTTGAAATACTGTTGTATTTCTTACTAATTTTTATGTGTGCAAAATAGTCAATCGAGTGAGATTTCCAAAATCCTCTTATTGAGTTTTTGTTTGTCTTTTAGCTACTGTTATCCACCATGCTCGCGAATGCGATGTTCTATCAAACGGACGACAGTTCTTCTTCAGGCAACGAAGTCCGGGCTGGTCCTTTGGTGTTTTCTCTCAAGCAGCTATGGATCGGTTTCATCAGCTGTTTGGTTATATTGCCCGTCAATGTACTCATAGTGCATATATTCCGTAATGTGAGACCCAAGGAGGGACCAAATGACGAGGATAAGAATTCCGGTAATGCTCAGAAATACGCGGTGAATGAAGGGAATGAGAACGAAGTCTCGTCTGATCCAACCGAAAACTTGGTCAGTTGTTCTAAGGTGAGATATACACGATTCATTTTGTAGTTGGTGAGTTAGTAGTAACTCAATAACAGTGGATCAATAAGAGATGATCTTTACTGGAACTCTAAGAAAAACAGTATGGAACTGATAGAGCTATCCAGTATAAATAAAGTTAGTTTAGTTTAGTTTAGGGGTCCTCCTGTAGTAACACTGTGCCAATAAAGGTTGACCTTTGCTGGACCTCTTGGGAGAACAGTTTAGAACTGATAGAGCTATCCAGTATAAATAAAGTTGGTTTAGTTTAGGCTTCCACTTGCAGTAACTCTGGATCAATAAGGGGTGATCCTTACTGGACCTCTAGGAAGAACAGTTTAGAACTGCTAGAGCTGTCCAGTATAAGTAACACTGGGTCAATAACGGTAATCTTTAGTTAGTTTAGCTTAGTCCGAATAGTTGCGGTCCAAAATTTTATTACAGGAGCTCTAGGAAGAACAATTTAGAACTGATAGAGCTATCCAGTATAAATAAAGTTAGTTTAGTTCAGGTTCCTCCTGCAGTAACAATGGATCATCAATAAGAGATGATTCTTACTGGTCTTCTAGGAAGAACAGTTTAGAACTGATAGAGCTATCCAGTATAAATAAACTTAATTTAGGTTTCCTCCTGTAGTAACACTGGATCAATAAGGGATGACCTTTACTGGTTTTCTAGGAAAAAGAGTTTGAAACTGATTACAGTAAGCACATCTACAGTCTAGTTTAAATCTAACACATTACTCTTCCCTCTCATATAGACTTCGCTGCCTCGGAAATTTATCTACGTTGCCTACATTTTGCTTTTCCTAACAATCTCAGTATCCGCAACTTTCACCGTCTTCTATGGATTTACATTCGGCAAAGAGAAATCAGAGAAATGGATCAGTTCCACAATGCTTTCATTCTTCCAAGACTTAATGTTGTTACAACCTCTGAAAGTGTTCGCTGCGGCGACGTTCATAGCCCTCATCATCAAGGATCCGAATAAAGTCGACCAAGGAGATAAAAGCGACAACACGCCTGAGATGATGGAGCAGGTATGACGGAGAAAATTTAATGGGAACTGAGTGTTTGGATGTCAGTTTTCAGATATTTTGTAAGATGACAGTTCCAAATGGATGATGATGCCAGCTTTAGACGAAATTTTGATCTAGACAAGCAGAACGAAATCCATCACCATGGCTGGAAAGAGCATCTTAAAATGAGTAAAAGTGCAAAGTTTGGTCGCGAAATGTTGTAAAATGAGGAAAATATAGCCCTGTGAAGTTCGCAAATTTTGTATATATTTGCATTACGCGCGGGAAAAATAACCATTTTTGAGCCGAAAGTGGTTATTTTTACCGCGCCTAATAGGAATATATACAAAATTTGCGAACTTCACAGGGCTATATATTTTTTCATTTTACAACATTTCGCAACCAAACTTTGCAGTTTTACTAATTTTAACATGCTCTTTCTAGCTGTGGTGTTGGATTTCGTTCTTCTTACCTTGATCAAAATTTAGTCTATAGCTGGAATCACCTATTACTGTTTCATCATTCATTAGCTATCACTTAAGATATTGCGTCTTCAGCTAAAATTCAAGCGAATTGTCAGCTGTCAGTAAGACATTTAGCAAAATGTCACAAGTTCCAAAGTCAGTTATCGTTTAAGATATTTTGTCAGTTATCAAAAATACTAGCAAATGTTTGTAGTGAGTTAAAGCCATTCAAGGTTTAACGCAAATCAAAACAATATCACGAACTCATTCTTGTCTTGTTATGACTCATGTCTTGAGTTTTTTTAACAAAGAAGAATTACTTATTATTTCAATTATTTTAGATTGAGGACCAACAAGTGGGCGACGAAGAACAATCGATAAACGACGACGACATTTTCCGAGAGCCTATGACGCCGAGATCGATGGTGAAACCTCCAGCAGCGTCTGAACTCGTTGCCGTGAGAGAACTGCGTACTAAACAGAAAATGATGCGACGTATTATCAGCGAAGTTTGTTGGTATATTGCGTATCTAGTGTTGATATCTATCGTGGCATATGGTAACCGGGACCCTAAGGCTTACCTTGTTACCAAGACAATGAATGATTTGTTTGTCGAGAATAAGTATTCTGCAAGATTACGGTTGAACGATGTAAGTATGAAAAGAATGTATATTATTTTCTCTGGTATGGTATGGTATGGTAAGGTATCCAGGTGATCTCGTGTTCGTATTTTAGCCAATCAGCGCTCAGAAAGAGTTGTCCGAATAGAAATCCATTTTGATGTATTCAGTCAATTATATCTTTCGTTATTCTTTATGAAACTAGTTGAAATTTTGTAATTATGTTTGGTTATGAGAACTATAGCTCTGACAAAAATATGGAATCGAAATAAAGTATATTACAGGAGATTTTCAGTTGTTTTAATCATAAAATGGAGTTCTATTTGACAACTAGTGCCAGTACTTTTCCGCGTATCAAGATCATCTGGATGGTATGGTATGGTATGGGTGGTATGGTTTAATATTGTATATATGGTGTGTGGTATTGTATTGTATTGCATTGCATTACATTGCATTGTATTGTATTGCATTGTATTGTATTGCATTGTATTGCATTGTATTGTATTGCATTGTATTGTATTGCATTGTATTGTATTGCATTGTATTGTATTGCATTGTATTGCATTGTATTGTATTGCATTGTATTGTATTGCATTGTATTGTATTGCATTGTATTGTATTGCATTGTATTGTATTGCATTGTATTGTATTGCATAATGTGACAATGTGATGTGGTATGATGTATTGTGGTGAGGTATAGATTATTGCATAGTGCGACTTGGTGCCGCATCTCATCCATTACAATACACTTACTACATCTCATAATATATTCTCTAGATATCAAGCATTCCACAATATTGGAGTTGGCTCCACAACAGTATCTTACCAGCAATCAACCCACCTTACTGGTACGGCCCTTATGGCTTGGACGATATCGAGACCATCTCGAAAACGATTGCCAGTAAATCTCGAGCCAAGGCGAAGTCTAAAAGTAGCAAGACTAAATCTAGTGGTTCTTCTGATTCTGATGATCTGGAAGTAATGTATCATGGTTATCCCAAAGGATTTACGGCAGATAGAGCTGTCTCGTATACTGTAGGTTTGGCACGAGCCCGACAGTTGAGGAATGCCCCGCAAGGTGGGTGGTTATATTTGTAGGTTGTAATGAGCGTTACAATATCCATTTCGCCTTAGTCGCATGTGAGAAGCGTGCTTCAAGTTGGAATCATCCAAACACCACTGGTTTTTTAAGGGCTTACTTGAGGCCCCATCTGTATTAACACTGGAGCAATAAGAGATGGCCTTAGTGCCATTACTGGACTTCTATGGAGAACAGTTTAGAACTGATGGAGCTGTCCAGTTAGTTTAGTTTAAGTTTCCTCCTGTATAACACTGGAGCGATAAGGGATTTGCCTGAGTGAAGAATAGTTCAGAATTGGTAGAGCTGTCTAGTGTAAATAAAGTTAGTTTAGTTTAGGTTTCCTCCTGTGGTAACACTGGATCAATAAGAGAAGGCTCTTACTGGATCTCTAGGGAGAGATTTAGAACTGACTGATGCTAGTTTAAGTCAGCTGTTTAGAACAAGAATAACAATGAATTTATGCTCAAAATTTACTTATTTCCTTTCAGAATCTTGTGTTATACACCCTACTGTTCGCCATCTTAATCGTCAATGTAGTCAAGAATACAGTTGGTCTAACGAAGACGAAGGATGCTACAACGTTAGTTGGTCGACGTATAATGGATCTGCACACAATTGTCAACAAATGAAAGGTGGAAGATCTCCGTGGACATATCACACCGCCTGGGAACTCAAAGGCACACCCTTTTGGGGCAAGTTTCATAATTACTGGGGCGGAGGTAAGAAATGCTGTTCCATAAACTAAATTAAATTTATCAGTTCTAAACTGTTCTTCCAAGAGGTCCAGTAAGGGTCATCTCATATTGATCAGGAGGAAACCTAAACTAAACCAACTTAATTTATACTGGATATATATAGTTCTATTAGTTCTAAACTGTTCTTTCTAGAGGTTCAGTAAGGATCATCTCTTATTAATCCAGTGTTACTACAGGAGGAAACCTAAACTAAACTAACTTTATTTAAACTGGATGGCTCTATCAGTTCTAAACTGTTCCCCCTAGAGGTCCAATAAGGATCATCTCTTATTGATCCAGTGCTACTACAGGAGGAAACCTAAACTACACTAACTTGTGCAGGATGGCTGTATCAGTTCTGAACTGCTCTCCAACCCAACTCATATTTCATATTCTCTTTCAGGCTATGTATGGAATGTAGACACCAGTTTATCCGTGGTCCAAAAAGAAAGGAAATTACTGGAGGAACAATCATGGCTCGACCGGCAGACTCGGGCAGTCTTTTTCGAGTTCACCATATACAACGCATTCACGAACTTTTTCTGCTCGGTGAATTTACTTCTGGAGAAACAAATCACCGGTGGCTTTTACCCGTACGGACAATTGCACAGCCTACGATTATACCACTATGTCGGTGCCGAAGCGTTTATCACCCTTGTAGGCGAGATTATTTTCGTATGCGTCTTGGGTTATATCTTCACGCGCGAGCTGAAGGAGGCCCGAAGCCGTGGCCTCAAGAGTTATTTCAAAGACCCGTGGAATTACTTTGATATTTTGGGTTTGGTCTTTTCTTTCACGTCCATCGGATTGTATTTCGCCAGAATGGCAGCCACATTGCTCGCTTTGAGGCGAATCAACGAAAACCGAGACTCTTTTGTGAGTTTCCACTACGTTAGCGCCATAGACCAATCGTTCACGATCCTACTAGCACTGGCAGTTTTTGTCTATTTTTTGAAAGTTCTCCGACTTTTGCGATTCAATCGAAAAATCAGCCTCCTTTCCACGACCCTAATAGCATGTACGCACACACTATTCGGCTTCCTGCTCACGTATATGCTATTATTCGCCGCTTACGCGCAGCTTGTCTACATTGTTTATGGTCGGGATATGCCTGAATTTGCAAGCTATCAGAGATGCCTTTCGAGTCTAATGGAAATGACTCTTGGCTCGAGCGATTTTGATCAAATGAATGCAACAAACCGAATTCTAACCGGTTTTATATTCTTCAGCTATACCCTACTTAATACGTGCGTGTACATGAACTTGTTTATCTCGATTTTAAGCGAGACTTTCTCAGCAGTACGCGCAGATGTGTTGCTACAACCAAACGATCATGAAATTATAGATTTCATGATAAAAAGTGTAAAGAAGTCTATTTTCCATGCGGTGGAGCCCGTTACAGAGCCTATATACAGAGAACCCAAAGATGATATAGATTTAGGAGTGGACAAGATATCTGAGTCGTCAGAATGTATACAGGGCGTTCTGCAAGGCTATTGCAAAGAGGACATACGCCAGACGTTATGGTTTGGGGATAAATCTAAAATGCAAGAGAAGGGTGTACTTTTGAATATACTACTTGAAAGTGGGGAAATTTTGAGTGAAAATGATATCGGTGATGCAGTGCCTTTGTTTGAAGATATTTTAAAGAAGTTTAGCATGGAAGATCTGTTGCTTATACGAGATAACCAGAGAAGAAAGCTTGCCGCGGAACTTGCAAACTCGATGTGTTCAAGTAGCAGGGGATCCAGGTTTAGTCCTCGGGGACCCAGTGCGATTTTCAGTGATGATGGTGATTTGGAAGTGAATGGTACTAGAGACCATGGTGAAGATACTGTCTCTGGTGAGAATGGTGAATGCTGGTCCCGTGCTGGTGGTGGTAATGATGGTGGTGATAATGAAGATGGTGGTGATGGTAATATTAGTGATAGCAGACACGGTGACAGAAATGGTGACGATGATGGTTATGATGATGATGATAATGATGGTGGTGGTGGTAATGATGGTAACGATGGTAGTGGTGGTAATGATGGCAGTGGTGGTAATGATGGTGATGGTGGTGATGGTAATATTAGGGATGACTACGATAGTGATAGCAGATACAGTCACAGAGATGGTGGTAATGATGGTGAGGATAATGATGGCAATGGTTACGATGATGGTGGTGGTGGTGATGGCAATATCAGGGAAGACTACGATAGTGATGGCAGATACAGTAACAGAGATGGTGGCAATGATGGTGATGATGATGGTAATGGTTATGATGATGATGATGATGGTGGTGATGGCAACATCGGGGAGGATTACGATAGTGATGGCAGATGCAGTAACAGAGACAGTGATGATCTTGATAATGATGGTGATAGCAGTGATGATGGTGATGTCTATAGTGATGGTGCTGATCAAAATGACAGACCTGCTCTTTCTAATTATTCTACACATGATGGTGGTTCTGACAGTGACAGCGACCAGTCTGACGGTGATCAGTCTGGTGATGGTTCTCACAGTGAAACAGATCACGAGGATAACCCTAGAGTCAATCAACCAAATCAAGGTACTATTGACCAACATGATTCTGGCAAGTATGATGGTGATAACAAACCTGAGAATACAGAAAATTTCGGTTCGACCAGCCTGTCGAGTCCTCGGAGCAATGCTTGCGTGATCGTCATGGAAACGGACAAAGAGGAATAATATGCAACATGTTATTGAAAGATAAGAGCATATTTTTTATTATAAATCGTGAGCAGGGCCTAATTGATTCGTAAAATGGACTATCCCACCACAAAAGTAAAAGGGAATTTTTTTAAAAAACGAAGCAGTTCTGTACACCGCTGACTCCCGTGCAAGAAGGGGGAGGAGTGGAGCTTTTTTACTTATCAGTTTTGGCTTGCTCTATCTATGGTACGATATATAAAAAATATAAACTATTTAATATAACATACAATTTATATAATACATAAATCATAAACACTACGAGTTAAACATATTTTAATTAAACGGCAATGTAACATATGATGTAAATTGTAAACGACAACCGAGAATTTCTCGGGGCTAATTTTTAGTTGTACACGTAAAGAATATTGCAATAAAAAGTTCATACACCAAATGGAGATAGTAGAACCAAGCCAGGAAACCAAAGCCCCTTCAGGCAAGAAAGTTTTCATTGACAAGTTTACTTTCTCGTGTGTAGTACTGTCAAGTTCTCCTTGGCGGCCGTCAATGGAGAAAACACGAACAAATTTCCCTTGCCGTGCACACGGTCAAGGCAAACTTGTCAAGGATTCCAAGAAAAAAGTGCCCGTCTGTACAGGGCTTAAGAGACAATGTTTGCAGAAACGTATGAAGATTATGAGTTTTCTCCAATGTTTCCTTGTTTTCGTATTGTTGCAGACACAAAATTTCCGTTTCAGGAAGCAAAAGTATTATAACAAACGTACTTTTATTTATTTATTAAACTTCGCCACTTACAACAAACAAGTGGCAGGGACACCACAACAGTATACACCAATTACTGTGGGCCCTTTAAAAATTGCTAAATACAACACAAAACAACATATCGCAAAACAAAACTACATCGCACAGAACAAAATTGAATATTATGCAATGCAGTGCAATGCAATACAATGCAATACAATGCAATACAATGCAATGCAATGCAATACATAGCAAAGACAAGATTCAACTTCCACCGCCACTACCGCCACCAACAATATTATAACGTACAATATTATAACGTACTTGCAGGGAGGTGAGTCCGGGATTGGACGCACCGAGGGTGGCTGAGCCACCCGAGGTGCGTCCAATCCCGGACTCACCGAACCTGCAAGTACGTTTGGTTTTTATCCCATACACCGAGCCATACACACATTTGTAGCTCTTCGCGATATATTCGTCGATGTTTTGTGAACATTTTCCCGGCCAAAAAATCACTGGGCAAGAAAATTCTTCTTTATCTACGTCTACAATACCTTTACTGCACTTTTTCTTTGGTTTTTCTTCAGTCTCAGTATGTTAGTCACCGAAAAAGTTCTTTAAAGTTTAGGTTTATCGGCTAAATCTTGTCCGCCATATTTGTTATTGTTATTGCAACGTAAGCAGTTTAGCGGGTGAGCTCGGGCGAAA